GATGCCCTGCAAACAGACAGATAGACAGACACACATGTGGCGGGGCTCCCTTCTCTCACACGCACCGGATCTGTGCTGACGTGTTCATCTGTCGTTTGTTTCAAACATAGACATCTGCTTGTTTCTGCCGCGCGGCGTTGACTGGAGGGGGTGCTGTTGTTCTTGTTGAATGGGTAGACGCACAAGAAAAGAGATACTGTTGTCTGTCTCCGCACCCCACATCACTGTGTACCATATACATATACATTCATATATATATACATATATATATATATATATATATATAGTAAAATAAAAGGAATGTGATATCTTGCCTGTGACGCCTTTTGGCGACACAATTTTTTAGAGAGCACGTGCAGTTCCTCTGAAGTGTGCCTGAGCGTTTTTTTTTTGTTGATGCTTTGATTTTATTTTAAAATTGCCCTAGTGTGGTGATGAAGCGGCGCCGTTACGACAGCGACGATGATGAGGATGGTGACGTGGAAGGGCCGCTGCTTCCATACGCGTTGGACGACAGAAGTGAATTTATGGTGGCGGCGGGCGTGGGCGGACAGGAGTCCAGCGAAGGGAGTGCCAGGAGCTCGGACGAGGTGAAGCAGGCGCCGGGGAGCTGCACAGAGAAGGAACATCAGGAGACGATGCAGCAAGATGAGCGTATAGTGCCCGCCTTGCCTTCTTCCGTTCTTGCTGAACGATTGCAACGTATGGCGCTTTGTGACGATCAGGACATTCCGGAGCATTGGAAGGGCGTGTTGTCCGAGGAACTGCTCCATGTGTACTTTACTACACTGAAATACTCAGAGACTAAACGAACGGTGGACGATAAGCTGTTCTCTCAGTATATCCCCTACGATGTGAGGCGCTTTCCACCGCTGGCTCGTCTCTCTGACCGGGTGTGGAACAACGCGTTTGGCATCAAACCTGGGTGGCGATGGGACGGTGTGGTTCGTGGTATTGGAACGTTGTAATGACTTTTTCCTTTAACTCTTTTCTGTTGTTGACTGCATGTGTGAGACACTTGTCAACCCAGTGAAACTATTGTTTTCCCGCAAAGGGACTGTGGTGCCAGAAGGCACGCAAAGAAGCATACATCTCCCTCCCTCAAAAGTAAGAAAACAAAAGCCAGACAAATACCGGGCTGCCTTTTATTTCACATTCCCGTTGTTTTCTTTGGCTGCGGGACGTAAGAGGTTGTGTGAATGGTATGAGACCTGACATTTACTCTCGTGAGGATGAGAAACGCATCTCGGAATTGCACGGACGGGTAAAATGTGGCGGCTCACTTTCCAATGAGGAAGCCGTTGAATTGGCGCAGCTTAAGAGGCTTTACCACGAGTTTATTGAGGAAGGGGAGCGGCGGTTGCAGTTGCAGGGAGAACCCGAAACGAAAGAGGTCACAGAAGCTGATAAGTCGGGCGATGTGCTTCTCGCTCTGCAAGAGACTGTGACCTCCGCAGGGAAGGCGGCATATTTTTGGGGATCACTTGTAGCTACGCTCGTGCCAGGCTATTTTGGACGCAAAGTTGGCCTCACCTCGGGTTTTTTGCACTGGAATTTTATTACGGATTGGCTTATTCTCGGTGCCCTTCCCGTGGTTACGAAGGTTGGTAGCAGCGGTAACCACTTGGTGCAAATACGAGAGCAGTTGGAGTCTCGCGGCGTGAAGTTGGGCCTCGTTGTCGCATGCCTGGAGGATGCGGAGGTGAATGGGTTTGGCGTTCCGATGATCAGTTTTGCTGATGAGTCGAGTTGGCACGAGTATGTTAGTCCCGCTGTGCAGTATCTTCGCTTGTCGATGCCAGACACCACCGCCAATATCTCTTTTGATAGTGTTTGGCGTGCTGTGCAGCAGATGCACAAGTGCATCACTGAACGAAAATGCGTTGTTTATCTGCATTGCAAGGCCGGAAAGGGACGCAGTTGGATGGTGGCAATGTGTTACCTCACCTCATACGGAGGGATGACGTTTGACGATGCGGAGCAATTGATCCGCTTCACCCGGGCACAAATTAACCCATCACCGGCACAGCAGGCCTTTGCAGCTCGATTTGCTGCCAGAATATCGACACAACAAGAGCAGGACGTATGCTAGGTGTCGTCTGCGTGTCTAACAGCAGGCAAATTTTGTGTCTACCTGTTTGCACCTTTGTGTTTACAAGAGAGAGAGAGAAAAAAAGAAAAAAAGAAGTGAAGTTTTTTTTTTTTTGTTCACCGACGGAGGGCGAGAAATAATATATATATAACGTATATATATATATATTATTATTATTATTATTATTATTTTCAAAAGAAGACAACGGGCCTATGAAGACATTGTACTCATTTATTTTTTCGTTGGGCTTTGCAACGGGATGTTGTGTTGTTGTTGAGTTGAGGCTGTATTTTTACGCTGCATAAACACATGCAAAAGGGAAAAGTGGTGCTAAATAGAGAAATTGTACAGTGAAGAAAAAGACATTTCATGACCTCAGTGAATGTTGTTATTCGCGTGTGTGTTTTTTCTTGGTTGCTGTTGTTGCGCTCATGGTGGGCCTTACAGTTGTTGATGTTGACATCGCCACCTTGACCCCAGCCTCTTTGGTATGTCTGTCTCTCCGTCCCCCCCCCCCCCCCCCCCCCCTCCCGTTCTCTCTCTATCTCTGTGTGTGTGTGTGGGTTGCGTGTTATTCTGCTAGACTACTGCGGTTTTTGTTTCTCTTGAAGTTTTTTTTTTTTTTGTTGGCGGCGTCGATGAGTCTCTCTCTAGGAGAGACCAGTGATGCAATCGCTGCGCTCGCAGAGGGCTGCACCTTAGACGAGATCGCGGAGCTCGCCACGCAGTGTGAATCACATTTGGCCAACGTTGAGGCGATCATGGATGCCACGGAAAACGCCTTGCGCACCTCCCAAGGCCCCACGCGTCTTGTTGTGTGGTTCTTCATCGATCGCCTGGCGAAGCAGCACAGCATTTTTTTAGATGCGCTTCGGCCGCGGCTGCGGGGCCTTGCAACAGCAGCCGCCCCCGCGGTGGGAACGGCAGAGTGGGATGACTTCAAGGCACTTTTGAAGTCTTCTATTGCAGTGGTGTTCGGCGCCCCGCTGGTTTCACTGATTCTGTTGGAGATTGACCCCGACACACAGAAGGAAACCGCCCGCACTGCTGCCACCTCTGAGCGGAGTCAGGGTGTCCTCGCACTGCACAGCAACGCCCTGCGAACCACCGGGGCTTTTTCGACAAAGTCCGTCAAAACGCATAGACCAACGGCGGTGAAGCATGTACTGCAGGTTAAAACCATTGACAGCCAGATGGCAATGAATATGGCGAGTAGCTACGCCCCTGCACGTCCGCAGGAGATTGCAGTCCCGGAGATTCATCCTGATGCTGACGCACCGCACGGTTACGTGAAGACACTACCCTCGGATTACTTAAAAAACTACGAGAATACTAGACGAAAGCGTCTCCGTGAGGTTATGGAGCGAAATCGCGAGGAAATGGATCGCCGCCAGGAGGATGAACTGCTTCAACGGGTGCGGGGTACAACTGTTCAAAATGGAAAGATACCTGACTATTCAGATGTGGTTATGCCGCTGGAGCTGCCTCGTGATGAGCATGGCGTGAAACGGGGATTTTTTCCACTTGGTGTGCGTTTTATTCGTGAGGCCATTCGAAGCTGTGGCGGAGCAGTAGAATTGGATGTGCTAGTAAACCGGCTTTCAACTTTAGCTAGCAAGGAGACTGTGGCAGAATTTGGAGATGTGCGTGAATTTCTACTAATTCACCGGCCGACGTTTCGTATGACAAATGAAAAGAATCGCTGGATTGTTCGCCTTGCCGGGGATGAAACTAGCGATCCCACGTGGGAATCATTGCAGTGCCCATTGTGCTCAAAAGTGATGCGTGGGCGCAACCTCGCGCGCCACCTAGGTTGCAGGCAGTGTGTCACAACCCAAATTGCTTTGGGACTTCATGGAGAGGTGCATGGTCCTATTTCTGAGCTTGCTTTGGTTGCAAAGTTCATCATTGACCGCGCAAACACGTACGATGATTGGGATTTGGAATGGTTTACTGACTGCATAGAGAGAGCCGCAGGTTGCAGGCGCTTCAAACTTTCCTCACAGTCGAAATTTGCCCCAATTTTGAAGGCAATGCGTGTTGTTCGCAACCGGTGGCTGGCGCGGAAGGGGGTGACAGACGTCGCCGACGCCGTTGTGGACCCTGGCGACGCGGCTGTTGCGAATCTATTTCGCACCATTGGGCGAAACGTGAACCGCCTTCCTATTCCTTGGCTGGAGATGGGCGATGTGGTCGACATGTGTCGACGGTTTTCGTGTTCGGTGTTACCTCCCTTTAATCCTCCACCGCGACCCGCCGATCCCCGCATCAGCCTGCACAACGAATACCCGGGGTTTCTTCTCTGCGAGAGTGAGGTGGACGACGAGGACGATCCGAGCGACGATGAGGAAGCCTTCTCTGACGATGAGGCGCCTACATTTGTCTTTGCGCCGCCGGTGGAATTGGCCGAAACACTTTTTACGGCGGGCTTTGAACGAGACACCAAGCGGCTTCAACATCGCATGCGCATCGCCCCTCCGCTGGTGCTGCAACGCGTGTTGAAGGGTGACCGCTCCCAAACGCAGCGAGAGATGTATGCTGATGCAAGGAATGCGGGCGGCCTTGCTGCACCGTCCTAACCGTGAGGGTGTCTTAATGACAGGTGTGATTCTACGCCGTGCAGATGACGTAGAGGCGGAATAAATCAAGAACAAAGTAAGCAGTCGAAGAAAAACAAAAAAAAGGAAAGAAGACCAATGAACGAGAAACACACACACACACAGAGAGAGAGAGAGAGGTTGCTGTTTTTCTTTTTTGTCAGGATAATAACACCACAATTTGTTTTGCTTTGTTATTCCTCGTGTTGGCATTGGGTGCTCTCTTTTCTGCATGCTGCGTTGCGCTTTCTGTTCCTTTTCTCCCCTTCCTCTACCTTTTCCTTTGCTGAGGATGTTGGCGACGTAAATATTTTTTTTTTTTTATTCCGACTTGGGGGTAGGGTAATGAATAGTGACGATGCGAGAGAGATATACGCTGGGTCTATTGGGGGTGCTCTGGCCACAGTAGTGGAGTATCCTTTTGACACCATCAAGGTTAGGCTGCAAGATGATCCTCGTCGCTACCGTAGTACCCTTAGTTGCATTGCACAGATTGCACGGCGTGAGGGACCCATTAATGGTTTTTTTAAGGGTCTTCCTGCCCCCGTCATTGGTGCGGCAGCGGAAAATGCCATCTTGTTTTGCACCTACCGCGTGACCGTTAACGGCATTCAAGATATTTTTTATTCGAAACGGTTTGAACCAGACACAGAACCATATCATGTGGTGTTTTCTGCGGCGGCTATAGGTGGTCTTGTCGTATCCACAATATTGACACCTGCAGAGCTTATCAAGTGTAAAATGCAGGTACAGAATACGCTTCCAGCGCGAAGAAGAGCATTCACCAATTCTTTGCACTGTGCAATGTCCATCTATAGTAACTTCGGTGTACGCGGGCTGTATAAGGGGCACGTGTCTATGCTTTTACGAGAGACTATTGGCTGTGGACTTTATTTTTTAACCTTTGAGTGTGTAATTCGCAATATGTTACGCGAAGGTCAAGGCTTTACTGAGGCTTCGCCGCTTGTTCACTTTCTTGGAGGCGGGTGCGCTGGTGTCGCTTTCTGGACGGCTACTTATCCGATTGATGCGCTGAAGACCAAAATCCAGACCGGCAAGGGCGGGTACGGTGAGCTTTCCCTCGTCAAGGGAATGATGCGGATGTACAAGCGCGAGGGAATGCGTGGGTGCATGCGCGGGTACACAATAACCGCGCTTCGTGCCTTTCCTGGGAATGCCGTTTTGATTGCCGTTTACGAGAAGGTGAGCTTTTTGTGGGAAATGTCGCGCCGGTCTCGTAACACGTCTGTTTGCGCGGCGACGTGCGTTGGCAGCACATAACATTCTTCCATCTATGATGTGGTGGGGCTTTGCTTATTGTTTTATGTGGTGCAAATACGTGTATTTATATATTCATATATATATATATGTAACTGTGTCTTTTTACTGACGCATTTCTGCCTCTATTAAGCTGCATGCATGCAGACACAGATCCGCTTAAAATGCCTTCATTGCCGCTAGGCAGAAGTAAAAAAGAGAACAAAAAAAAAGCGGAAAAAAGAAAAAAAAAGATGGCTGATGAAACAACCGACGAACAAATGAGGAGGAAAAAAAGAAATGCATCAGTGGAGCAGCTGTGCACCACGAGTGCCACTTCACATTTTCTCCGGCTCACTTGAACAGGCTGTGGTTGAAAGGTACCCGGGAGAGAGAGAGAGAAGAAGAAGGATCACGATGACCAAATAAAACAACCACAACAAAGTGAGACATGTGGGCCCCACGTGAATACCAAACGATTACTCAATCCCTACACTTCCTGCGCAGGTATCCGTCTGGGTCAACTCCACTGCTGCTGACCCTTTTAAACCAAAATCCACCCACCCACCCACACACACACACACACACACATGAAGAAGATAAAGTGCGTGTCCATATTTATTTGAATTCCTTCTTCTTTTTCAACTACTGCACTAGAGGGGCAAATAGTTTGCGTCTTTTTTTTTTTTCGTTTTACTTCAAAGCCTTTGTATATTATATTTATATTTATATATATATATATATATAAGCAATTAGAATATTTGCTTTGTTTTGCAAATGGGAATGCAAAAGAGGTTTGAGCTGTCCCCAAAAGAACTTGGGAATGGGACGCCCATCTTTGCCTGGGACTCAAATGGGTCCTGCCTCGCCGTGTACGGCGCAAACGGAAAGCTAAGGATACTATCCCCGGATGGTAAGAACCTGATCACATCCTCGCTCCCTGGTGTCATCCGAATTGCGTGGGACCACTCGTCGGATACTCTTGCACTTATTCAGAGGGATAACAGCAACATCACGTTGCAGGGAGTGGGTAAACGGTCTTCTGACAGCGTTGACTCCGGTCTGCTTGAGCTATGCTTTCTTGCCTGGTCGCACCTTGGCTCACATCTCGCCGTTGGGAATGCCAAGGGTGCCTTGGTCGTAATAAACAGTGAAACACGGAAGAAGTTGCCTATTGTGGGAACACATACCAATAAGATCATTGACGGTAAATGGAGCATGAATAACCTGCTGGTGCTGATCGGAGATGACAATATTCTCTCCATCTCCAACGCAGATGGGGTGCTTCAAGAACAGGTCTCACTTAAGTTAGCACCTGTGTCCCTTACTTTGGTGGAGCTTATGCAACAGGATGAGGAACAGCCCTTGCTCAATGTCGTTGCGCTGGTAAGTTTTGGCAAAACGCTTGAACTTTACAATTTAGCAAAATGTAACTCTCAATCGGTGTCATTTGAAACTAAATTGGGTTCGGTCAGTGCATGCAACGCAATTCCGGGAGGTATGGCGTGTGTGGGATTTTCGTCTGGGGCCGTTGCACTGGTTGATTTTTCTTCCCAGGGGGTGAAGGTGTGTGCTGTGACACGCCTATTTCAAGATAGTGTGAATGGCCTAGCATTTTGCGAGATCTCCGGCATGTGCGTTGCGATCAGTGAACACGTCTTCAAGTTCTTCAACCTTGTCGGTAACAAAATTACGGAGAATAAAATAGAAGGCGTGGAATTAGGGGGGATGAATAGCACCATACGAGCGGTAGAATGGAGCAAGGATGGATGCAATATCGCTTTATCCATGGAAAAAGGGCAGTTAGTAAGTTACCGGTTGAATGTATCGGCTGTAAGCTGTTCAAGCGGCGCTTGCATTTACTTCCTTTCATCCCCGCGTGTGGTGACTGCCAAAAGTTTGCAGGATGGCCAGATACTATATACAGCAAACGTGAAGCTTGATCCAACGATTATTGCCGCATCTAAAGGGGTTTTGGCAGTTTGCACAGGAAACAAAGCCATTTTTTACACGGTTGAGGGTAAAGATGTGACGCTGCTCCGTGGTGTTGAGTTTCATTCTGTAGTTACTGCACTAAAGGTATCATCTGAGCATGCGGCACCGCTATGTGGTGGGAAGATTGAGCTGCACGAGATTCGACCTGGTGGCCGATCTGTCACACTCCCGGAAAATGGAGCAGCAAACATCATTTCTGTGGACATGAGTGATACGCTTCTTATTTATGCAACCATGGAGAAAATATGTGTCATTAATCTCAATGATTTTCAGTGCGTTGTTGAGCATGCACCTTCCATCGGTATTAAGAAGGCCGTTTCCAACTCGAGTTGCACTCGCGTAGCACTGATTGGTAAGAATGATACGCTGTATATATTTAACCCCGTCACACTCACCTTGACGCAGACCGAAGGGTTCGAGACGGAGCACACGAATATACTCTGGGATCAAGGCGATTATAGCGTTTTGGTCTCCTACGACACCAAAACCATGGTGACCTTCGTCTACTCCCCGCACACTCGTTATGGCCCAACCTGCGAGTCGGTTGTCGTCAAGGATACTAACACGGAGAATATCATTACTCCTGTTCCCGGGGGGTACACACCTGTGTCTTTGTTTAAGGGTAAGGTGACGTTTCAGGCATCTAGCGGCTCACTTAATGTGACCCATCTCAAGTCTCATCAACAGGCGATGACCCGTACCCCAAACCCAGAGGCGTTTTACACCAATTTCTCACTGAATCATCTGCGCTGGGCCTCCCAAAACATCAGCACTCCACAAGAGGCGGAGGATTTGGCTGTCAAGGCACTTCATATGCTTGACATTGAACTTGCCATTCGTCTGTATCGTCAGCTTTCACAGCCCAGTCTTGTGTTGTGTCTTGAAAACGTTAAACACATTAATGAAAAAAATCTTCTCATTGGTCATGTTTCTATGATTATGGGCTTCTTCAAGGACGCACAGAGTTTTTTTTTGCGCTCCTCACAACCGCTCTGTGCGCTTCAGATGCGTCACGACTTAATGCAGTGGGACTCTGCACTTGCGCTTGCACGACAAATGGCGCCTGATAAGGTCCCCATTTTGTCCAAGGAATACGCCCAACAGCTGGAGTACCGTGGAGAGTACGCCAAGGCATTGGAGATGTACAGAGCAGGGGAGCGAACGATGCCAAAGGGACACGCCAGCACAGAACTTACTGCTTCCCACGAGGAAGTGAGAAACCACAACGCCGTTTGCGCGCAAGGCGCTGCCAGGTGTTTACTGCGCACAGGAAACGTGCGGGAAGGGGTCAAACTGGCCTTAGACTCCAACGATACAACACTTATAAGGGAATGTGCGGATATTTTGGAATCCACTCGTCAATTTGAAGAGGCAGCAGATCTTTACGAAAGGTCCTCCGACTTTGAGCATGCAGCCACACTATACATTACAGAAGCAAAAAATTTAAGCGCTGCAAGTCGTGTTATTCCTAAGATTTCGTCTCGTAATATTATTGGGATGTTTGCCAAGGCAAAGGAGGCTGAAGGGGCCTTCAAGGAGGCTGAGCAGGCCTACACTCAGGCAGAGGATTGGGACAATGTGGTTCGCGTAAAGGTGGAAAAACTAAATGACTTGTATGGAGCATACGTCGTCGTGCGGCAGTCACGATCGGCTGCCGCCGCAGCTGTGGTGGCCAATATGTGCAAAAAGAAAGGTGAGTTTAGCTCAGCCGTGGAATTTTTTGTTTTGGCGAAAAGCTTTTCAGAGGCGTTTGAGCTGGCCAAGGAAAAAAACTGCATGTCAACACTGGAATCTGCACTACTGAATCAGGTGCAAGTCACCGACGGGATTGCGCCTGCCGAGAGCCAGGGTGAATTTGCGATGATTGCACAGTACTACGAGCAGAGCGGAAAGACCGGCCAGGCGGGGTTGTTTTACCACATTGCTGGAAACTTTCGACTGGCATTGGGGAATTACCTTGAAGCAGGTGAGCCCGAGGACATTGAAAAGGCGATTCAGGTTGTTGGTAAATCAAGGAATGATACGCTGACCAATAGACTTATTGACTATCTTATGGGGGAAGTCGACGGTGAACCGAAGGATCCGTCGTATATTTTCAAGGTTTACATGGCTCTGGGAAGTTACGAAAAGGCTGCTAAAACGTCAGTCTTGATTGCCACCAAGGAGCAGGAGATGGGTCACTACATGACTGCACATAAGACCCTTGTGGACGCGTATAGTATACTCAAAGGGAAAAATATGCATGTACCCAATGATCTACGTCGTTCTTTGATGTTGCTGCATTCATATATCATTGCGAAGCTGCTCATGAAAGTCATGAAGGACGATGAAACTGCTTCTCGTATGTTACTACGAGTAGTGCGAAACATTAATAAATTTCCGAAGCATATTGCTGCCATCTACACTTCCACTGCACTGCAGTGTGTGAAAAGTGGGTTCAAGAAGTCTGCCTTTGATAACGCCTGTATCATCATTCAAAATGAGAAATACAGGACCGAGTTGGATGAAAAGACACGGAAAAAGATTGAGGGAATTGTACGTAGACGTGGAAAGGAAGAAATGGAGGATCCACCCGAGAAAACGTCTCCGTGCCCCTTCTGTGACGCGCAGGTGCCGGAGACGGAGCTGGACTGTGGTGCTTGCAAGAATACCTTGCCATTCTGCATCGTCACGGGCAAACACATGGTGAAAGATAACTACTCTGAGTGCCCCATTTGTCATTTTCCTGCGCTCTACTCTTCATTCATAGCACTCTTGCGGAGCTCCCAGACTTGTCCCATGTGTGAGAATATCATTGACCAGAACAAGGTCCAAAAACAAAGTGATCCTGACTTAAAGGGGTTCCTCGCGTAGAGGGTTAGGGGTGGATATCCCTCTCTTTATGAGAGCAGAGCGAATGCCTGTGAACAAATCAGAGGGAAGTAGAATGGAAAGTATTAAAAAAAAAAATGGAAATAAAACGAAAAAGAAAAATACAGAAACAAAAAGTATTTGCCTGCATGTGTTACTTCGGGACATCGTTCCACAGAATAAGCTGGATGTAGAAGTGAAACCAGCTACCGTCAGTGATAGAGGCATCATCATCATCAACGGCACACACACACAAAAAAATATAATATATATATATATATATGGAGGGGGAGGGGGTTCTGTTGTTTGCTTGCTTCTCCGGCTAAAGGGTTCCCTCCGTGCTTCACACACGTTTTCTGCTGGGTGGAGTGCGTGGGGAGCTTTCCCTCAGCATTTGGGGCAACTGGGATGCGCATATGCATTGGTCTTGCTTATTTTTTTTTTTGTTTTGGTTTTCCTCGTGTGCGTGTGTGCGCCCCTCTTTGCCACTTTGTGGGGTTAATTGGGAGGACGAGTTTACAGTTCAAAGAAATCGGTAACATTTATATTTACAGAGTCAGTGCACAACATATAAACAGTACTCAGGGCATCCGTCCACGATGTCGAAGTGTTGGCTGCCCATCGAAAGCAACCCCGATGTGATGAATGCATATCTGAAAAGTCTTGGTGTAACCAACCCCAAGGTGGAGTTTTGCGACGTCATAAGCATCGACCCTGAAATGTTGGGCTTTGTACCACGACCCGTTCGTGCCATGATACTTTTGTACCCTATTTCACCTGAAATGGATGCAGAGGATATTAAGACGGGGGTAATGCGTGCTGCTGAAATAAAGGAACTATTGAATAAAAAGGATTTTTTTTTTCTAGACAAACCGTTGGGAACGCTTGTGGTACCATGGCCATTTTACATGCAGTGATGAATAATTTGGAGTATGTGGGTGACTTGCGCAAAGACAGTCCGCTTGATTTTTTGCGTAGGGTGGGACTCCAAGAAACACCAGAGGAACGCGCTGCCCTCATTGAGGCGCATTCTGAACTTGATCAAGCACATATGGATGCATCCGTAGATGGTGTCACATCACACCAGCCGATCGATGCATCAATTGACCTTCATTTTACATGTTTTATACACACACATGGTCAATGTGTGGAGTTGGATGGGCGAAAACCATGTCCTTTACCGCATGCTGCTTGTGTGGATAACGAAGAGTTTGTGAGGGCTGCTGCAGAGGCAATTAAAGCTAAGATGCTTCGGGACACAGAATCGTTCCGCTTTAACATTATTGCTCTTGTTCATAAGTCTGACTGAAACTTGCTGTTTTTGCTTTTCCCATTGCCCCTAACCCCAGTCCACATCTCTCTTGCAGTATCACTCCACGTCATGTAATGCTGGCTTTGGTGAGGCGCAGAAAAAGGTTATTCCCTCTTCTACGCTTCACTGCAGAGTCCCCCGAGAAGAGGATTTTTTTTTTTTTAGGGGAACACTTAAGGAAGGAACAGATTGGTTTTTGTGTTCATCATATTTGTGTTTTGTGGTCAAGTTTGCGCTTTTAAAGGGATACAAGAAACAATTGCCCTTGGGTTCCTGTTTTTCAACATGTGGGTACCCCCAGGCTTTGCTGGTTGTCAGCTTATTTTTCTCTTTTCCTGCTGTCGGTATGCCTTTGTTGTTTTTTTTTGTCTGTGTGTGTGTGCGCGTGTGTGGAGGGGGTGGGGGTGTTTGCACTTTGAGCATTTTGCTCAGTCTCATGAGGCGACTGCACCGAATAAATTGGGGGCGGTCATTTAGGCATGTACCTGTGCGCATGTTGATACACGCATCGGGTGCTCCCAACATTTCCAGCGTGTCATCGTCTCTCACGGGCCAGATTCCCTCCACTGCTTCGTTGGGTTGCACATCTTCCTCGGCTTCTGTCTCCACGGCGTCGCCGGAAGTGGGGGAGAGGGAAGTGGCACCATTTCTTTTGTCACTATTGTCGGAGCTTGACGTATTGGAGAACCGATGGACGCGGTGTTTCCGCGTGTGCGTCACAAGTGCACCAACGGTGGCAATTGAAGCGAAATTTATGAATAGTGATATCTGGACACCGGTGACGACTATGGCATGTGCACAACTGCCCTTTGGGCTCGTCAAGACGGTGGAGGATGTTTTGTCTTCTCAAACCCAGACAGAGCACCGTAATATAACTCTTGTTGACCTGCATGAACGATGTGAGGACCTTGCAGTGGCACAGCAATTTTTGGAAAGCCGATTTCCTGGACTTCGGCTACACGTTGATCATTCTAAGGGGACCGATCTCCAAGGAACAGTGACGCACACTGTTTCTGTTTCGCTACGTGGTCATGGCCCTGTTAATGGCCTCTATTCCAAGGAGGAGCAATTCGCCAAGGATACTTTTTTTGGAGAGTCCATTGGTGCGAGTTTTTCCGGCACGGTACGGCGTGCTCTTCGTGAGGCATTTGGGGCAGCCGGTATTCCGTCTCCTTCACGCCATTTTGAGCGCGATCGAGGCACAAGTGAGCTGGATATTTACTTGGATATTATTCGGAACGCTACAAACGAGGCGATTGAAATCACAGCATCTCTTGCTGAGGATAACCAGGTACAGGCCGTTGTACAGTCTTCTACTGGGCGCCGACTTGGTCTATTGCTGGGACGCAAGGAGGATGCTCTTTCCATTGTTCTTGCATGCGTGGAGAAGGCTGCAGAAAATACAAACAACATCGCAACGGAGGAGGCGCGCAAGCGCATTGCAGACCACCCCGTGGTGTTGGCGCTTCCTTCTAAAGGCCTCCGCCCCAAGGAGATTTTGCACCGTTTGCTGTTTCACACCTTTGGGCTGGCAAGAGAGCGAATGCGAGTTTTGACTTCACAGAGTGATGAGGGCACATTTGTCACCACCATTGACGCCGAGCTGGGCTGGGGTGAGGCACAAAAGACGGAGGCCCCCATTTTCTCCACTCTTGCAAGAGCTGCTGGGGTGAGTAAAAAGGCGGCGGAGGAACTTGCTTGTATCAAGGCGATTCAACGTTGCTTTCCATGCATCTTTGAAAATCAACTCTCGTACCATGCCGAGGTAAGGGAAATTATGAACTCCACAAAGGCGACCGACAAGGATTCTATATGCCCACACATCTCAAAGGGGCTTTTGGCCCAGCTACGCTGGGCTGTTCAATGCCAAAACAAGGAAGTACTGTTTGAAGCTGTTCAACTGTTTCCAAATTCTGAAAACGAATCACTGGGGATACGTACGACAAGGCCTCTCTGGGCGACGCAGCTTTTTATAGTTGATAAGCAAGGCACACGAGATTTTGTGTGCCTAGCATTAGATCCAAGGAAATCTGCGAGTAAGCAGAAGGTTATTGCTGCCACCCTATACAAGTATTTTAAAGAGGAATGTAGCGAGGGGGTGAAATACGCGATAGAGCGGGGTCTCATTGACGGTGAAGGTAATGCCACCTCCTGTGAAGGTATTTCAACCGCTGAACCGTTACCAAGGAGCGATTATGAAATTGCGGCAGAGTCCGATCCCTTTATTCAAAAGTTACAAATTGTATCCTCACAACTTATTCCTGTCGTACAGCAGCAGTCTCTATTAAGTGTGCTTCGTCGCGGGGTTCAACTCTACGTTGAGCTCCTGAATGAGCGGGGTGGAGTGGATGGTGCCTCCACCGGACGGTTGGTTGAGTGCACAGAACGAAGTCCACTGGACGGTTCATTTAAGGCGCAGCTACTTGTCCAGTTTTTGGGAGATGATGCTGACGGCACAAAAAGGACACTAGGAGAGGCCTGTCATTCGAATTCAGCTATCATTGCACTTTTTTCCGCGTTTAAAGATGTATTCGACGAAAAAGGCATTATTGCAAGGGCTGCGAAAGAAGATGCGCAGGTGGAGACCATTTACAGGGATACTTGCCAACGCGCTGAGGAGCTGTCCCCATTGCCGTATGAGCTTCCTGCACAGAATCCGCTGGAAACAGTTGCACAATGTGTCATGTTAAAGTATGGTTTATCGACGGAACTGCGTATTTCCGGCGGAGGCAAGGCGATTCAGGTGCAACTCTTTGGTCGAACCCCGTCTTACCAGGATTCTGATCGAGCTGCCAGTACATCCCAGTTTTTCTTGGGACATGGTCGAGGGAACTCCGTTTTGAAGGCTGTTGTTTCGTGCTGTAGGCATATTTTTGACGCCCATATTTGCTCCAAGGAGGAGAGTCTTCAAAAAACGAGGTTAACGCCTTTGCGTTCTGGATCGGTGCAGGTTCCACTGCAAGGGAAGTCAGTTCTTGCTTTACGAGTGGAGGAAGTCATGAGGGAGCTTTTGGAGTACAAGGTGGTCTCCTCCGCAGCTTCCATTCACGTCAAGGTGGATATTCACTCTACATCTGAGGAAACGAGGTATGAGGGACATTTGTACGTTGTGGATGGATCGCGGATGGTTGAACTGGAGCGAACTCCTTCGATGGTGGACCTCTTGCGTTCCCTACAACAATTAACTGAAGGCATCACTCAAGAGATGCGCTGCCCCACTGTTGATCTTGACGCGCTGCAACGACAGTACAGTGGGCCATCGCGGTGTAACACATTGCGGCAACTGCTGCAAGTTCTTTACGGACTTCCACTTATAACAGAGACGTCATTCAAGGACCATCAATGGCAATGTCGCCTAAGCATACACATTTTTGAGGACCTTTATTACGCAATTGGTTACGCTGTCGATGTGAAAAAAAAGGAGGCGGTGGAAAATGCAGCCAAGAAAGCATTAGACCGTTGCTTTGGAGCAGCATCAGTTGACGTGGAATTACAGGAGAATTCAACATCAACAGCACCAATAAGTTGCCTGGAGGAGGAATATGGATTTGTCTTTAGAAAGTTGGTTGAAAACGATACTTCCTCTGAGTCACTTCCATGAACAGGCCTAATAAGGATAACATCTAACCTGGCCCTACCATTCCAGACTTGCCGTTTTTTTTTTTTTTGTTCTTGCTGTTGTTGTTGTGGTCAATAGTTGCGGTTTGTTCATGTTGCTCGGTGGTCTTCGCTTCCTGTTGCTGGATACCGTCTCGTTGTGCTCTACACGTTGATAATGTGGATCTTTATGTATTGGATTTGCTCCCACTCCCCCTCATCTGGCATCTCATTCATTTAGGGAAAGTTGTTTGAAGCAAATTGACAATGCTCCGGGCCTCGGCAAGTTCGATCAAACTGACGAGCCTGTACGGGGCGCCAACCGGGGATGCATACCACCCGAGCGTACCATTCGCCAACTTAGTTGAGATTGATGGCGTGCGTATTCTTTTGGACTGTGGATGGAACGACGAGTTTGATGTCAGCTATCTCAACACTCTGTTGCCGTACCTGGGGGATGTGCATGCCGTACTCTTTTCAACTCCTGAACTCGTCTCCTGTGGGGCACTCCCATTCGTGATGGAGCATATTCCCTCTGGCACCTGCGTGGCGGCGGCAGGTTCCACGGCCAAGATGGGCCTTCACGGTGTTCTGCATCCATTCCTTTATCTCTTCCCCAACGCTAACACCTGGCGGCTGGAAAGTGGTATTGACTTTGAACTGACGGTGGACAAGGTATACAGTGCCTTTCGAAGCGTGACGGAGCCGTATGGGGGCAAAGTAACAATTCATCATCGCGATGTGGAGTTGGAATGCTATCCTATTTTTTCCGGCCGTATGCTCGGGAGCCATGGCTGGCTTATTAAGTATAAAATTGACGAGCTTTTCTATTGCCCCGATTTTTCGCTGAAGCCCTCTTATACACTTAAACGATTTGTGCCACCAACAACGTCAACTCTGCTTTTTATTGATGGATCACCACTGCATTTGAGCGGTAACACTGGAAACAAGTACGAGGAACAACTGAATGCGTTGATTCGAGAGATTTTGGGCACACTTCGTAACGGGAAGGATGTTTTGATACCAGTTTCTGTTGTTGGACGGGGATTGGAGATACTCACGATTATCACACAACTGCTTACAGAGAAGGGAGGTGACAATTACGCGGTTGTGTTTGCCTCCATACAGGCGGCGGAGTTGGTGGCGAAGGCGAGCACTATGACTGAGGCCCTCGTAGATGAGATAATTCTCAGTGAACGACAGTTATTTGCTAATGTGGTGACTTGTAAGACGGCAGAGGAGGTCTTGAGTGTGGCTGGGCCAAAGATTTGTATTGCTGACGGTGACACCCTCGATTACGGGGTGTCAGCAGAGCTTTTAGCGCATTTTTTGCAATCGGATGTTGATGATAGAGAAAATTTGATTGTCTTACCAGGAACACCAAAGCCAGATACAAATGCCTTCATAGTAGCTGCGGCAAATAAAGGGGATATCATTAACTTGCGCTACACAAGTCGCTCACCACTTGGGAAGGAGGAATTGGAGGAGTATTATCTTCAACTTGAGCTGGAGCTGGAGGAGCGGCGGAAGGCGCTGGAAGGGGGTGCGTATGAGGTGGCCTCCCTCGAGGGTGATCCTAGCGACGACGAGAACGTTGCCGGTAAAGAGGATGAAAAACAAACGGGGAAGACACAACAGTGCACACCTGGCCTTGTCCTTCCTTCTTATATGAGTTTTGTCTCCAAATTCCTTCAGTTTCCCATTCTGGAGACGGCAGTGTCATTAAATAATGCCGTGTTAAAAAATCTTGATTATTCCTACGGTATTCCTGTCAGTGAAGAACTGCAGGTTCTTATGCGTAGAAAGGCTCCAGCGCGGGTTTACAGTGACGAGGGGCCTGAAGGAATTCAACTGCATAATGATGCTCAGGCTGAGGCGAATATTCCGTCAAAGGCGTTTGTGAATACGGTTGTGGCACGCAAAAGTTCACGTGTCTTCATGACAGATCTCTCAGGTTTTGCAGATGCCACCACTATGCGGAGTCTGCTAAAGTCCCGTTTCAGCTTTGCGAAAAAGATTGTACTGACTCGTGGCACTGTCGATGATTATCGCACGCTGTACCAGTTTTGTCGATCGGAGAAGGTCATGAAGTGCGGGGAGAATGTTTTTCTTCCGAGGACGCAAGGGGCCCACTTGGAGCTTGCCACGCACGTGTACTCGTATGATGTGCAGTTGGACCCACAATTAGCTAACACACTTTCCTCCGCTCTACGGCGCGTGAACGAATCGAGGTCAAACGGCTCGTGGGATGTGGGGTGGGTGGATGGGGCTCTGGAGAGTTCCTTTGCGTCGGTGGATGCAGAGGACGACGAGAGGCAAGCAGCAAAGCGACTTCGAACTGAGGGAGGCGACGGCGAGAGGCAGGATATTGTTTTTACCTTGGCTCCTCTCACCAGCGAGAAGGCGCAGGAGTGTGCTCAGAAGCGGGAACTGCGGGGAATGCAGCGCGGCCTATTTTACGTGGGTGAGGTGGACTTACACAAACTTCGTGATGTAGCTCGAAGCGAAATGGGTCTTCGCGGCGAGTTTCATAAAAATGCACCTATGCTTGTCTTTGATGCAGGGATGTGCGTTCGCAAAAGCGCGAATGGGAATTTTTCCTTGTCTTCGATGGTTTCGCCATCTGTCTTTGCACTTAGAAAGACCGTCTATGGTCAGTTTTCTCAGACACTGTAGCCACGCAGAGTGCGCTTGCATGTATCGTTCTCTGCAATAAATGCGTATAGATGCATGCATGGGTGCCTGTGTATCCGTATTGAAGGCGTAAAAAAAAAAAAAAGCAAACAATGAAATGAAACACAACAGCTTCTGCGAAGGCAATAACAAAAGAGGAAGACATTGGTGTATTGCTATGCGCTATTCGGTGCAGCTTTTTTGGTCTACCCCCTTTTTTTTTGTCTTTACTGTTGTTGGGGTGTGGTCGATCTTAAGCAATAAGCGTGGGAACATGTTGACGTTGACTGGGCTGGGCCCGGCGTCGCTGTCAGGCAGCACATCACACTTCACTTCCTCTCCCCTTTTTGCGTACGCTTACATTCTTCTTTTTTTTTTTCTTTTAACATCTTCCGCAACCTTTTGATGCTTCTACTCCCCACCCCACCCCCTACTCCTCCTTCTCCTCTTATCGCCTTGCAGGACGCTGTCAAGAAACGCCCCAGAAAAATAAACTGAGGAAGAAACGACGCGCCTGTCTGCCAGCAATGTCAGAGACAGACGTCCTTCTGCTTAATATGGAGGTTGAGGCTGCCGCGGCAAGGAACGCCGATCTCTCTAGACGACTTGAGCGAATAACTGAAGAGCTGGGCTGCTCCTCCGTACATGTGGTTGAAAAGCCTGAGATGGTTTCGCAAGGGACACAGACGGAGTTTGATACTTCACGTGACGCTGCTCTGAATTTGGATGATCTCCTGTTTGAAATAGCGGAAATTACGTTTCGTCTATACCCGTCATCACCCATCGATTTGTCAAGTCGCAGGGGCGACGGGCCCAGACACCTTGAGGAGCTCTCGCATCGTTGCTTGGACGAGATGCGTTCACTGCGAGCTGCCTTGGAGACCAAGCTGGAAGGCTACAACAAGTTTATTCAGGAGCTTCAACAGGCCCTGGGCACGTACTACAGATCCATCGAGAAGGTGGAGACTCAGCTGCGGGAAAAGGAGTTGGAATGCGATGCCCTCCAGAAACAAAACACCGAACTGTTGCGTCAATGTGCTGGGATGGAGGCAAAACTAAAGGTTGCTTATGAAACAAGAGAGAGGTTTAGCGAAAATGCGACCTGTCAGATGCATCGGGTACGAGATCTTGAGGCCGAAAGAGATCGGCTTCTCAAAAGGGAAACCGTCCTTGCAAATACAGTGGCCTCCTTGAGGGCTGAGTGTGCTTTGGGGCCGTGGAAGAATACAACACTTTTGAGGGATAGCTCATTTGAAACTGCAAGTCCTTCTCCCCATGTTTTGCCAGGCAAAGGTAGCGTGAGTCCGGTTCGAGACGCGTTTGACGGGGCCTCGTTTGCACCTTCTACGTTGGATGTGATGTGGGCATGCCAGGGATCTGCAATTAATAGAGCCTTCCCTGAGTGGTGTGTTTCTGCGGAAAAAGTTGTTGATTTCTCTTGCAAAATGGGGAATACGTGAAGCATGCAGGGGTGCAAGCGTACGCCAACAGGATGATATTAGATTCCCTCATAATTTGTTATGTTTGGCCATTTTTGTTGACGTTGGAAAACCTCAGGTTGTGCCCTTTGAATTGGATTGCTTCTTCTTCACTGTTTGCTTCTCTCTGCTTTTGCTCTGCTGCTCTTCTTTTTTGTTGTTGTGCGTTTCACTGCAAATGCGTTCTGCACCCTTTTTTTTTCTTTTGGTTTCTCATTGGTATGTCTCTCCTGAGAAAATAGTCCCCCCTCCCCCCCCCCACCACACACAGACACTTTTTTTTTTATTTTCAATTTCTGCGTCTTGTCGATGGAGGTAAGTGGAGGCCCTCAAGATGAGTGGATGCATCTTGTGGCTGCGGGTGATGCCACGTCGTTGATTGCTGTCTTTCGGGAGGCTGTTGGCTCAGCACCGCCTGACGCTTCTGCTCTGCAGACCATCTCTGCGTTTTTGGAGGCACAGCTTTTTTCATCTTCGTTGGATGTTGATTTACCGAGGCTCTTCTCCACGGCGTCTATGGAATACATGGAGGCCGTCGTAAGCGAGACATGCTCTTCTGCGCTTGACGCACGAGAGGTTCTCAGCGAGCTGCTAGCAATGGAGGAGCTTCCCAATGGAAACGCTCTTACGGTCTACATACGTCTCATTCGAGTGGCACTTCGGCAGTTGCTTCTAGACACGCTTCGGCGGAAGAAACGACAGTGTGCCGGCGTGAAAGAGCAGCTGTCACAGACGCAGGCAACTCTGCGTGCGTGGTATCCAGGTGTGGAGCGACGTCTTTCGCACATCATTTCAACGCTTTGTCAGCACGATGCAGCTCCACAGATGGTACGAAGCGTAAATAAGTTTCAGGACGATGATGATGATGATGCCATCAGTGAGGCGGACACTGCAAATGGAGAGGAGGATGCAAAAACGATGGTATCGTTGGTGGAGTCGGGTACATTGGAGGCCTTGTTGCTGTTGTCATTAGATCTTTTTTTAATGGTTGGAGAGCCTCACAAAGGTGTGCCACTTCTTCTGATGGTGAGAGCGAGTCTTGTGGCAGTCCAACCGTACAATGAGAACGATAAATTTTTGCATAAAATAGGAACTGACTTGCGGCAGTGGGCCAAATCCCTCTGTCATGTGGAGGACAAAAAGACAGATCAAAATGTGGACAATGCTACCGAACACAAATTGACCGTCGTAACGACACCAATGGAGGCTAAGCCAATGAACGAAACTATCGTCCGGGCACTGTTGAATGTGGTGCCATGCGGTGAAATTGTTTCGTACCTTCAAAGGGGCTCGAGTAACGCATTTACAAAGGACTTAATGGATAGTGTCGCATACGAGGACAATGAACACGGGAAGAATGCAAGCGATGCAAAGGCTGTCACTACTTTGCACGACCTGAAAAAAGAAAAAGATGGGCTACGCATTCTTTCTGATGATGATTCCGAAATAGAAGAGGACAATGATGACGTCTCTTTAGCGCCTCTTGCTTTACGGAAAATAGGCGCCATGTTGATCCTATATGATGTTATGACGCTTGACGGTTTGTGCGATCACGAGCTGCTGATATCGAAATCTCCGGAGACGTTTTTATTTCTAACGGGGACAATGATTTTAGAGAGTCTAAAGAGCTCTTCACTTAGTGTGGTGATGACGGGTCTCGCCTTTCTAGCCACCCTGCTTCCCCACCTGCCTCTGTACAGTATCCTTGCACATGGTGAGTTGGATACAAAGCCCGGACAAATACATGAGTTTGGACAAAAACATATGACTGGAGGCACATGGGGATTTCGCACAAAAAGATTTGAGCTTATCTTTGAAATGCTGAAGGCTTTGATGAATATTTCTGCAACATGTCCCTCCGAGTGTCATCGCGAGGTTTCTCGTGGAGTATTTGTTACTTTACTTCAACGATGTGCCTGTAATTTACGCATGTTCATTCACTCGGTGTTTCTTGTGCTGGCGCCGTTTGCATCCCTTTGCTCGCTGCTGTTGCACCTCCTGCGAGAGGAATGGAATGAGAATCGATCCTCGGTCAGCACCTCGGAATTTGATTTCCTTCAGAATACACTGCCTACTCTCCTGTTACGGGCTCAGGAAAACTGGTTGAAGAAACTGCGTGTGGGCGAGGTGACGTTTCTGGATCCCATGATTCAGTCAATTAGTTTTGTTTGTTGCGTCATTATCGAGGATCGAAAACAGGAATCGAAGGACTCATTGTTTCGCCTTGACCCCAGCCGTGCCAAAGTCGAGCTTCACAGCAAGGTTGCTGAGGAAACTAAAAGTGGCCGCTGGAACCTGTACCTTCACCAGCTGTTGAAGAATGTTGTTCCGCCACTGCGGACCATGGCGTCGGCTTCCCCTGATGCTTCCGCGACCGCGGTGGGTGTGGTAGGTGGGGTGACTTTGTCGCCGCTGGACTGCTTTGCACTCTCCAGGTGCCTGGATGGTTTGGAGGAGCAGGTCGTTTTCACGGGTTAAGGCGTGTTCGTTTTTGGTCTGTCTTATTAATTATTATTGTGGCGGCGTATTTTTAATTCCTTTTTTTTTTTATGTTTTGTTGCTGTGCTATCAGTGCATGTATGGAGGTATACTTGCCTACCTGCGTTTTCTCCATGACTTGTTTTTGTTACTATTATATAACATGGCGTCATTATGATTCTTCTCCTGTACTTCTGTTTTTTTTTTTTTCTTATTTCTCTCTCTCGTTGCTTTTTACACGGAAGTCCCTCGATGATCCGCTCGGATCTTCTTGTCGGTGAGGAGTCGGTGACCGCTGGCGAACCTCTCCGTATCACCCCTGTGCACGAGAGGAAGACGAGTGCCTACTTGACCAAGTATGAGATGGCGCGGGTGATTGGGGAGAGAGCCCGCCAGATTGTGAATGGGACTTCTGTACTTTTGAGTGGCCGAAGCTGTGTTCATGAACGGAGTGCACTGGAATTGGCAGAGCGGTGCTCCGATCCCTACTCCTTGTCAGTGGACCCTGTTTTTATCGCAAAGATGGACTTATTGCAGGGGAGGATACCAATGATAGTTCGACGGGCTTGGCCGTGTGGAGCAATAGAAAACATTCCTGTATCTGAACTACTGATTGATAAGGTTATGCTTAATATGCAAAACTAATTACAATCCGCTTAATTTTGTGTGTTTGCTGTTTGTCAACGGTGAAGGATGCACAAACGCATCCCTTCCTCTTCTTGTTGGGACTCTTGCTCTTTGCTACTTTGCCCCCCTCGTGGTGGGGAGGGGGGAGGGGGGAGGGGGGGGGGGTGGCACCTCCTATCAATGAGAGGGGATATAATAATAATAATGGTGTGTGTCTTTACTTCTTTTCCTGTATGTGTCTGTGTGCATGTATGTGTATAAGTGACGTGGGAATTAAGCATCTAAAAGCGGTTGTAAAGGACATCATGCGGCGCGTTTTACGAGGGCTGATCCGGACAGAGTGTCGAGTGGCGCAAGTGTGTTCGCTGCGGTACATGCAAATTTGCGAGGATGTGCGCAACATTGCGGTGATCGCCCACGTCGACCATGGCAAGACCACTCTGGTGGACAGTATGCTAAAGCAGTCGGGTACTTTAGCAGAGGCCAGAAACCGCGTGATGGATAGTAAAGATCAGGAGAAGGAGCGGGGCATTACGATTCTTGCGAAGAACACTGCCATTTTGCTACCCAAGAGAACTCCAGCTGAGCCACGGCGTCGCATTAATATTGTGGACACCCCTGGCCACTTGGATTTTTCAGGTGAGGTGGAACGCGCCCTTCAAATGGTAGAAGGGATTATTTTGCTGGTCGACGCCAAGGAAGGGGTACGCCCTGGGACTCGGTATGTTCTTCGCAAATCTCTTAGCCTTAACCTCAAGCCGATTGTTTGCCTCAACAAGATTGATAAGGACGACACGAACATTAGAAGGACGGAGGAGGCCATACAAGATCTTTTCTTGGAGACCGCCGAGAATGAGGACCAACTTGAGATTCATTTTATGTTTGGCTCTGGTCGTGATGGTTACATGAACGATACCCCGAAGAAGGAAGGTACCCTTGAACCTCTCTTTGAAAAAATATTCAGCATTGTGCCTGCTCCTCAGGCCAAAAAGGACGTTGGCCTGCAAATGCTTGTGGCCCAAGTCGAGGTAGATGAAGTCACGGGGCATAAGATTGCTATTGGTCGCATTTTTAATGGCACCGTGTCAGTTGATGATATTGTGACGGTTGTTTTGGAAGACAAGGAGGTGGATGCCCTTGTCAAAAATATCCAGCTCTTCGTCGGGGTTGAGAGGGCCACCGTTCAAAGCGCTTCCTACGGTGATATTTGTATTCTTACTCTGCAAGAACCCATTGGCCAGAAGGTGCCTATCAAGATTGGGAGTACTGTCTGTCAACAAGGCGTGGTGAACCGATTACCGTATCGCAAGCCCGATGAGCCCACCTACAGTCTTGTGATGCAAGCCAGTGAAGCATCATGGCGAAAAAAAGAAGCAGACGAACGCTTGGGAACTATTGTGGCTTTACAGAAACGGTTGGAACGTGAAGCGATGGTAAACACTGCGCTACAACTTTTGGGTTTGGGGACACCACACATTACACTAATGGGTCGTGGTCCGCTTCATCTTTCTGTCATTGTGGAGGACATGCGGCGCGAAGGGTATGAGTTTGAGATTCAAGCACCCCGTATCTTAACGAGGGTTATCGACGGAGTCAACTGTGAGCCGTACGAACGAATTCATTTGGAGTTTCGTGATGAGCTTGTGTCGGACATTGTGTCTTTTTTAAGCAGCAAAATGGGGGAACTTGGAGACATTACGCAACTGTCGAACGGGCGTGTACTAGTAGATTGTGTCATGCCTGTTCGATTCATGTCACAAGTTCCCCTGCGCTTTCACACGCTGACAAGGGGAGACGGCGTGCTTAACCACAACTTTGAGGCATATCGTCCCATGACCTCCGTGGACACGGCACGCGAGACGGGCGCGCTGATTTCCGTGGAAGGTGGTGAGGTGACAGAGTGGTCGCTCTCTGGACAGGCGCAGCAGGGCCGTTTCTTTGTTGTACCAGGCGACATTGTTCACTATGGGCAAATAGTGGGGGAGAACAGCAAGACGCTCTACCAAAATCTTGGAATAAATGTCTGTAAGCGCAACGAGCAGCTTGGCGGGCTGCGCTCGAACGCTAACGACAAGTTGAGCCGAAGAAGGTCTTCCTTCACCGCATTTCGTGCCACCTTTGAGGACTGTGTCGCGTGGGTGACAGATGACGAATTGGTTACAGTGACACCAAAATCCATTCGTATGCGGCAGCCGAACTTCAACGGTAAAACAACAATGCGGAGTGCTGTTAAAAAGAAGTGACCGGGTCATGTTGGCTACACCTTTTTTTTTTCTGTTTTTGCAGGTTTTGTCTTAGTTACTCATATCTATATATTTTTTTTGTTTGGTTTTGATTTTCTCCTTGATTGTGGCGTTTCATGAAGTTGAAGGTGCCCGCAGTGTTGTGTTGGTCACCGGAGTAGCGGTGGAGCAGAAGGAAAAGATACAGGAGGAGGAGGAAACCAAAAAAGAAAAAGAAAAAAAAAGACCTCGTAGGGAAATGTGAAGGTGGAATATTGAATTTGTTAAACAAAAGACTCAAAAAAAAAAATCTACTTGGAATCCAAAGCAATGTTTTTTTTTTTTTTGGTTGGTTGCTTGTCACAGAATGATGGGGTGCACGCAGTGGCGTGGTAGGAGCGCGTGATGATGGTGCGATTTGCCATGCTTTTATTATTATTATTATTATTATTATTTTTTTGCATGGGCCTGCCCGCGAAAAAAAAAACAACAACAACAAGAATAAAAAAAAAACATTCTTCTCTCCTGGTGCCCACCGTCTGGTTCGCGCTTTCACTCTCTCCTAATTTCCCTCCGTTGCCTGCATCATCAATCTGACGCTTGTACTCTCCTCTCGTTTTGCGGATGTCGGAGGCTCCACGCACGGTAAGAATCCATCATGTTTCAACGCACGCTTCCATCGCTTTTTGCGGCAACGCCCGCTTCCTGGATGAAGGTTATGGTGGGGGTGAAGCGCGTGGTGGACTACACGGTCAGGGTGCGTGTCAAAGGCAACAGGATCCAAAGTGAGGGACTCAAGATGAGCGTGAACCCGTTTGATGAGATTGCCATTGAAGAGGCCATTCAACTGAAGGAAAAAAAACTTGTGGGTGAGGTAATTGCGGTGACGGTGGGGAATAAAAAAGCGGAAGAGGTCCTCCGCACGGCAATGGCCCTTGGATGTGACAAGGCTATTCATATTGTCACTCCCGAGGGCGAGGCTGAGGGACTGGAGCCGTTAGCGGTGGCAAAGATATTTCAGAAACTCCACGAGGAGATAAAACCGGATTTGTGGATTTTGGGGAAGCAGGCGGTGGACAGCGACTTTGGAACCACACCGCAGCTCCTGGCAGGACTTCTTGACATACCGCAGGGAACCTTCGCCTCGAAGGTTGAGGTCAGTGATGGAAAGGTGAGGGTGACGCGCGAGATTGACACCGGCCATCAGATTGTTGAGTTGCACCTGCCTTGCGTTATCGCTGCGGATCTCCGTCTCAATACACCTCGCTTCCCAAAACTTCCCAACATTATGAAGGCGCGGAAAAAGCTCATTGACTCTCGCGATGTATCCTCTTTAGGTGTGGACATCAGGCCGCGGTTGGTGAGGGAGGCGGTAATGGAACCACCCCCGCGAAAGGCGGGTGTTAAAGTAAAATCCGTGGAGGAACTGTATGACAAGCTGCACAATGAGGCCAAAGTAATTTAGGGGCAGCTCCAGTACGACACAAGCAAAGTTATTTGGGTAAAATGGAGCACGGCTGCAAAGCAACAACAATGATACTCTATCCTTTCAAACACCCAAACACGCAGGAAAAAAGGTATAATATATATATATATATATACGAAATACCGGCACGATGTACATGGAGCGGTTTATATATGTCAAGCTTTGTTTGGGGCGGGAGCTTAAAAAAAAAAAAACGGGTTTTAAGGATTGGGTTTATTGTTACGGTGGGTGGCAGGCGAAGTAGTTGCGAG